TGTGAGGATTCGATCGAAGGGTTGGGACGCCAAGATCAAAAACTGATCATAACCGAAAGAGCGGGAAAAAATCTCCTCGAAAATGATATACTGCTGAACCTGGGTATAGAAGTATTCCAGAAGCAACCACCACCCCATGGGCCAGATTTAAGGAAGACCCCGAATATATCTCACATCGGGACAGACGTCAATCGAAAAAAATTCGCATCTGACAGGCAACCAGACCAGGGCCTAACACACTACTACAAAGTGAGTTTAAACTATACATATCAGGCCGATTTCCCGACCTTAAAAAAAGAACCGGTAGATCAAAGAATTTTATCGTTAACACCTATTTTAACGAACCTATAAAACCGATACAGATAAAAGGGAAACGCATACCAATCCATCTTCTCCCTAAGGTGAAACTATGCATCGACCAACTGCTAAGAGATGGCCACATTGAAAAATTGTCTAGATGTTCGGAAAATTGTTTCATCTCCCAAATTGTAATCAAAGCTAAAAGGGACGGGTCAATTAGTTTAGCGTTAATTTCAAATGTGCTAAACCAACAGATATTTCGTGATAGATATCATATGCTTTACCTATTTGAACTAATCGATAACGTCGCAGTAACAATTAGCGGACACGACGAAAACAAAATTTGGTTCTCATCAATCGACCTAAAATATGCATATAGTCAAATACCGTTATCCAAAAAAGCAAGCAAGCAATGTAACTTCAATATCGTGGAAGGAGATTCACAGGCTCCTATCGTTTTAAAACTGGATTTTACGGGTTAGGCGATATGCCTAATGAATTTCAACGCATAATGGACCGTATGATGGAAAAATTACCAAATACACATGTTTATCTTGACGATATCTTAATTGCTACCGTGGGTAGTGAAGACCAACACCGCAAATTAGTTTTTAATGTTTTAAAAACATTAGACGATGAAGGATTGGCCATAAAATGGGAAAACTGTACGTCTCTGACTCACAAAAAAGAATGGCTAGGATTTAAATTCGACGCGAAAGGGACGACGCCATTAATACACAAATCAGACGCAATCAGAAATCAAGAAGAACTGGGTCGTATCAAAGATATAAGATCACTAATGGGATCGATTAACCAATTCAACAAATTCATCCCAAATTTAGCGTCTTTATCAGCACCGTTTAGAGAACTAATGCAAAAGAATAAACCAATTAATTGGTCCACGGTGCACGCTGAGGCGTTTGAAAAAATCAAGAAAGAAATCTGCAACACAGTAACCAATCAACATTTCGATGTAAATCTGAATACAAGAGTGAAATGCGACGCATCACATTTAGGACTGGGCGCGTACGTTGAACAAGACCATCGAAGGACCTGGAAGACCGTAGCGTTCGCAAGTAGATTCCTATACATAGCCGAACTAAAATATAGCACAAATGAACTCGAATTGTTGGGTCTAATGTGGGCGTTAGATCATTTTAAAAACTACCTATTGGGCAAACAGTTCTCCATTCTAACGGACCATAAAGCTTTAATTGGAGCGCTAAAAGATGATAAATACACAAAAACGGCTCAATCTCGCCTCACCGTTGGGCGAAAAAATTACTACCCTTCGACTTTACCGTCGATTATTTGCCAGGTAAGGAAAAGGAATTTGTCGACTAGCTATCTAGACACCATCGGGTGAACCCGTACTAGTTTCGCTCGACGTTGAGAAATTTGTTATCGCTTCGGTAAACCAAATTAGTACTCTCCTAGGTTTCGATCACATTCTTGGCCGCAAATAAGAAACAAATTTTCTCAACAAGTCATAGCGCATGAAGTCACGATTGCGCATGACGAATTGATGAACAATATGACCAGTCAAGAAATAGAACGTGAGAAACGAATTGCGAATGCCGCTGAAACTTTCCAAGCTATTGTTAACCATTCCAAAATTTCAGTGTGCCAAGGTTTACATTTACGAACAGAAGACTGTGATCCATCCTGCAAAATTATCGATTTTTCCACCAACTATAAGACTTTGAAAGATATGGCCGACCAATTCGAGCTATTAGAACAACTTGAACATCCCAACCTAAAATACTCCTATTCTAACACCAAGTACTTGTAACCCATCTGCTAATCCCTCGGAAAGAACACCCAGCAAAGAAAAAAGCTCAAAGTCAGCTAAATTGAAAATATTTCCATTGTCGTGGCCCAAAATATTTGATTCGAAATTCATGTCATTATTATCTAATCAAGACCTTATACTAAAAAGATTGTTAAAGGTAAAGAAAAAGACCGAAAATAGGATATTACACAATTGGGGAATTACTATAAACCATATATTAATAACTTACATGTCAGCGGAGGATGCCTTTATTTTGACGACAGATTAGTTATCCCGGCATCTTTGAGATAGACAATGCTTCATAGACTACATGAAGCCCACCCAGGCCAGCTCGCGTTGAAAAATCTGGCAACTCAATATATCTGGTGGCCAAAAATTTATCGTGAGGTTCAAGTCCACGGGGAAAATTGCAGCGAGTGCGTTAAAGCAGATAAAGGCCGAAAACTTATGTGTCGAGAAAGAAGAAATGACTGGAACACTCCTGATGAAATCGAAGATGGAGACGAGGACGAAAACTCATCTTCGTCAGATCATATCTCTAACGCAGTGAGATACGTCCTCACCATCGCTGGTTCTCCTGTAAAGGTTCTCTCCCGCGCTGAGACAAGAGATGCTCTAGGCGTCAAAAGTCTCGTGTTGAACAACCCGCCGGCCATTAAAAGACAATATGCCCCGAAGAAGGTTATCCCTAGAAAGAAAAACCAACTTGTGAATTTCTACGCTACCAAAGGACCGAGGAAGATTATAAAACCTCAGAGAAACGTCGGATTCAGGAGCTCAAAGGCGACTCAGAAAAAAACAAACCTCCAAGCAAAATTTAAGGATCTAGATATGCGAGTCGGAATGCTGCTATGAACAGCTCAAGAGAGACGTTCCTGAGAGATTTTGACGACAGATTAGTTTTTTTCTGAGTTTGAGGTTCCCCATCGGCCTCGAAAGTGTCCAAGAGACAAGCCCACCGGGCAAACCCGTCTGCTCAAGAAGCAGTACAACAGAAAGTAGAATGACGAATCCTCCAGTAGAAATACTATCCGACAACGATGCAGCGACCTATTTCTACTAGAAGACTTAAAGATACAAACCCTAACCGATCCTAAAAACCGACCAGAACACTCAATACAAGAACGAATGGCCATTAAAGAAGAAACCCCAAAACAGATCGAATCCAATGTGGAATAGGCTGAGACTCCGTTGATTGTTATAGACAACAGTACAGTTCCACATTCAACCCCACAGCTTATCTACCTAGAGAGTCACGAAGAAGTAGATGCAAGTAACCAGGAGATACCCAACTACCAGAAAAAACCCGAAGTAAAATTAACTCAAAGGAACGCAGAACCAGACACGACGGTGGAGATAGACAGCCAAGCAAAGGAAACGACCCCTACCAAGATCCTAACTAAACTGACGGGTACGGCCAAAAGGAAGGCCTCGTCGCCGATGAAATCACCACCGCTCAAAAAACTGCCTGACACACATTCTCGCCACAACACTAGACCCATGCGATCTAGGCAACCTTCGATGATGCTGGGAGAGAGAGTGTTCACTATTTTACTTGACAACCCCGACGATAGGCCAGGCGAACACGCACTATCTCAAGTCCACACTCCACCATATTGCTCATCAATCGAAGCGATTACAATTGAACTAGAAAGCCATCAAATTGACGTGGTGGAGCTAACTTCCCCGTCAACCTCTTCTCCATTGCATCCAACTGTAGTCAATTTATCTGAACGAAGATCTGAACAGACGAGCTATACAAAGCCTTCCCTATCACTTTCCCCAATTGGTTCGCCCAGGAAGATTCAATTCAGACCTGAGGTCCACATGTCAGAATTTCACCCATCGGGCCTACCCTCCGAACCAGTAGAGGCAACGACGATACCAATTGTTTGATCCAGATTGGCCTAATACCCCTTCTATCATTTCCCCGATAGAGTTATTAGGCCAACCTATGACGCTCGACGAACTTAGGAGGTGGACAATCAACCGAACCGCAAACCGAGATGCTTCTTAGATCTCATTTTGTAGATTATCGATGCCACACAACAAAACTCAAACTCTTGATAAACTTTTCCTTCAGTAATCTTTTCCGTTAAATTTTTTGTTACCTTTGGCCTTAAATTTAGTACCCATGTAAAGTCTTTTCGTTGACTAAAATAGACCTTCGGCCGGACTGGTGTACACCCGAACAATATGCTGTTGATTTATTTTAACATACTGATTCTGAGACGCTTTATTTATTACCTTTGAGTTATGCAGTTTATAACAGCCTATGACCAAAAATGCAGAATCAACATTTTACCCATCGGGTGCTAAGTTGGGGTTTTTCCCGCCAGTTGTCCCGCCATTTCATCCCCGAGCTCAAACTTTTTGCGCTGCTGAAAAGTATATGTTTAGTTAACTTTTCGTGTTATTTTTTTTTAAATGTGATATCTGACCGATGACAGTTTAAACTTTCTACTTCGCTACGACCAAGTTAATTTAATACCTGCCAAAGGCGCAACGGCTTTTGGTAGACCTAGACACCGATCAATAATCTTCATTGATACGTAACCAATTCTGTTAACTGAAACTAATTCTTAATTCAACCTTTTTACTCTGTCTACTAACTTAGCATAACACTACCCTTTAGTCTTTAAATCTAGTCTTAGATAAAAGCCTACTATCTTAATAGTAGGGATCTTAACTATCGTGTCTTAAATTAGTCTTAGTTTAAGTTATCTGGATAAAACCATTCTACTGTTTTATTCTAATTTTTTAACAAGCGGAAGGGTCTATAAAACCATATGGAGGAGCGTTCCGTACTCCTCGCCGTAAAATTCAAAAGTGATCAGCGAAAAATTAATTAGAAGATTAGATTTGCTCACAATTTGCAAAATTCCAAAAAAAAAATTTATGCAATCAAAATCCTGTAAATTTATTTAGCTATATTATTTACAGTGTAAGGTTTCAAGTTTCTTCCCTTGAGTCAGTCTTCTATCCCCCTGTGTAAACCTCGATGAAGAACTTGAACGATCCACCTCCAATTGGATGGGTGAAGCAGTAGTTTTCATGACAGTATGACACTCTAGTGACCGATGTGTAGGGTGCTACTAGAATTTGCAGCCACGGTACGTCATTTTCCTCAAGTTTCCCTACGATGTAAGACATTGCTTCAGTTTCAGACTCTTTATCCTGAGCATCTTCAACAATTGCGTGGGCGACGTTCTCCCAATTACAATTTGAAGGATAACGTTCTTCGCGTTCCAGAAGTTTTCCCCAAATAATCAGATCACACTGTATTCCAGATTTGAGACATCCAGTGTTTTTGGGATCCGATTTCCAGCACTCGTAAGCTCCACTGATGAATGTGTGCGCCCACTTGTCGTTTTTATTGATTAAGTAAACAAACCAAGTGGATGCAGGATATGTATCTGCAAGGAAATCCCGTATGTTCATTACTTTGGTCATATTAGAACCTTTGCTTTCCTGTAGGATCTTTAAAGCGGCGTTTTGCCATCCTGTGAGCAGTTCTTGATCGGAATTGTTTATCAATAATTGACGCAACCCTTCTTTATATTTAGCTTCCTCCTCTAATCTCTTGATGCTCACTTGTTGAAGTTTTTCGCCGGTTGGTGCTTCTTTATCCTGTTGTTTCTTTTTGAGAATTTCCAGGGCTTGTTGACGGCTATAAAGGACATCTGCTTTATGGACCAGATCCATGTACTGTTTTTCCTTTTCAATTAGTTCTTTTTCGTTGGCTTGCTTGCTCTGTAGTTCTGGAATTTCGATTATAGCGGTCGGTGGTCGAACTTTCGCCATCTGTGGCCTTCCATTTCTGTCATTGGCCGATGCTTTTTCCATTTTTTTCCGGACTGTGTTGTCTAGTTTTTCGATAATCGTTTTGAGACTCTCAATCTCTGATGTATTTTTCATCAGCTCAGTTTGCAGCCTAATTTTGTCATGCTGTAATGCGCGAATCTGATCGTTCATTTCAACATCACTTTTGATTTCATTCTTCTGAGTTGCCCAAAACTCTTCGACTGCTCGTTTATTTTCATCTCTTATTTCTTTTTCAGACTTACTGGTTTCCTTGTAGTTGTCATCAATTTGTTTCAAAAGTTTGCGGTAGTCTTCTGGTACTTGTTTCCAGCAATCTTGTTGCAATGTTTCCCGAAGCTCTTGACTAAAAAATAATTTTAGCTAACATAAAGTTTTTTGAAATCAAATTTGTTTTGAGCCAGAAATTTTTTTGCAAGTTTGGGACATGAAGGAAGGTGGATGCTCAAAAAACAGAAAGATAGATCAAAATCTTAATATAGAAATAGAAGTTGCGTAAGCTAACCCAAATTGACAAAAATATCAACTTTCAAACAAAAGCAGTTATAAAATCTCCATTATTTGTTAGGATGTTAACATGTTTACGACATGGTTTTTTCGTTCCTTGCTCATTAAAATCTGTATATTTTTCTACAAAAGATAGTAGAACTTTTAAAATGAAGTAAAAAAAAAGCCTAAGCATTTTTCGAAAACAAAGATTTTATAATAATAAGTAAATACAAACATGTAGAGACTGGTACAACCCTGGTCTAACCTATTTTGAGATTGAAAAAAATACAACAAGAAAAATTATTCTGAGCGCAACTGCTATAGGTGCCATACATCATAAAATCACGCATTTATGCATACCGCATGACAAGACTGCTCGTAAAACGGTAAAACCCAAACGAATCCGATTAAACTTTGGAAACAATTGTTTTGATCAAGCTCAAAAACTTGTTTTTCGTTTCCGCCCTGATGTAGACACCAAGTTTCAATAGAAAACTGCTGGCAAGAAGAAGATGCTTCGGTTTTTCGGAAATGTTCTCTAGCATAATTTGTTTGCTGTTTTGAATGAAACATATAAGAAAGACTTCCGAACAAAAATTTTAAAATTTTTGGCAGTCTTCTCTCCGCACGCACCGTCAAGTTCGAAATGATAAACTTTGCGACTACCAAAGCAATACTTACCTTTATCGGCTTCCCTCAGCGCTGTTCGAAAAAGTTTCCGAGCCGGATAATTTGCTGCGTTCGATAAACGCATTATTAGATTTTGAGGAATGGATATTGCCAGCGCGTTTTGTTCAGACTTGATACAAACTATTTCGTTAATTTTGTTCGTAAAAAAGTCAGAAATTTGCGAGAAACATGTCAAAAAGAGCACAAATAGATGCATCATTCAAAAATTGGATTGGTTTTTTGTTTCTTGTAGGCAATAACTGGCATGAAATATCCAGCTTTAGTTCAATTTAGAATAACTGTTCCGCTTTTTGAATAAAATGCTTCATAACAATGTCTATCTTTCTAGAACGTTTTTAAAATATCTGAAACATATCGGTGTCCGGAGCTCAAATAAAAAAAACATTTTTTATCTGTGACCATTTTTGTAAAGTCATGGGGGTTTGGAAAGTGCTAATTTGACAGTTTGGGATAAATAATGCGCGAGAAATTGCGTACTAAAAACACGCGTGAGCGGCATTTCATTCCGTTCCAAATTGAATTGACGAAATTCATTTGGTCTTTTGATTAGAATGCGAGATGCTGAAGCCATCTTTTTGTGATTCATTTTAGCGTGTAGGATATAAATTTAGAAATATCTTAACAAAGAAACTTGATTGTTTCTTATTAAAGCTTTTCAATTTTCCAACTGTGCCTACGTTCTTAACTGGTTCCTTTTCCTCATTGGGGTTGGAAAAAACTCCGATCAAAAAGATGCTTCCCAGCGGTAAATTTAACATGAATCAAAAAAGACGCCAGTCTAATCTTTCCGTTATTTTCTTCAAAAGAAAGATCAAAAATAGATTTACTGAAATTTTTGCAATTTTTGTGATAATTTTAATGATTTATATTGAACTAAAAGGAACAACAGGGTCAAGTTCGAGCAAAAAAATTGTTTTTCGTTTGTGTTAAGACAGTGTTGTTCTTCTTCTCTTCATTTATTGTGTTGTATGCAATACAAATAACCAGCTTATTTTAGCGCCCTGGTCCTACTCAATGCAGGACCATCCGTTGGGGAGATGGTCCGCTCAAAAACAATCATCTGGCATGCTGGACTTTGTTCCTACTTAATCTAGATGCTACTGTACATTTTCTCAAACACTCTGCTTGAAAAAGTTTGCTGAGCGACCCGCTTTTGATATGAAATAGAATATGCTTCAAAAAAAATTTCGAGTCTTCTAAGAGAGTGATCCAGAATTTTTGACCATAGCCGAGATACGCTTTTTCCAAACTTTGTCCGCGACTTAAGCCCCCGTCCAGACTATGGATTTTAAGTCGTGGAATTACCACCGGTGCGAGCGAGAAATTTAACGAATAAGTCGGGGACCTCAAACAGGTAGGTTCGCCCTCCTTATTTGCATAAACCAGCACAGCATCAGATCCTTTCTCTGCTTACCTCTCAAGCTCCTCCTGCTTCTGGGCCTCATCTATATCTTTCAGATTTCTTCGCAATTTATTTCTTCCTTCGACTAATTTTCTTTCGTTTGCCCACTCTTTGGTATCGAGGGAGGGTGATTTGTCTAGCAGCTCATATAACTCATCAACTGCCTCCTGGTACTGTTTTTCTTCGTCGTTGTCTCCATCGTCTCTTTGTGAGTTGATGAACAAACACCTCGGTTTGCCAGCGTTCTTAAATTTAGAGCGCAAAGTTTTAATATAACCATCGGCGAGTTCTTGATCGGTCTGGTTCTCGTTATTTTTCTGTCTACGCCTTATAGCCTTCTGAGACATTTCGAATTGCGTAAAAACAATAACGACCTGCTCCCAGAAGTCGGGGCCAAACATCTGTTCAAAAATATTCATCATCCCGACAAGAGCTCCATCTAATCTCCGATTGTTTGCGTTTATGGCTATGCAAAACACATTGACATGGTCGCATTTATTCTGCAAAGTTGCAATCAATTCTCCTATAATTCTTGCATCGTTCTCAAGATCGTCTGTAGCGTCGAATCCTTCGGTATCTATGAGGGTCACTGGTTTCTCACCTTCTCCATTGTAGAACACATTTGCCATCTCAGTTTTGCGGGTGCAACTTTCAGCTCCCGAATATACTGGGAACACACTAGCATTATGAGCGACGCCTGTTAGAACGTTGCAGAGTGAGCTCTTACCCGTTCCAGCTTTACCTATCACCAGAAGTTTCTTTCGACCATTCATTCTGACGTCATCTACCAGGTAGGCTGAGCCAGGTCCTTTTTCTGTTCTGGTTTTAAGTAAAAGCTGTGATACTTCTGCTTCTGAATCCGAAGAGTCCACCGGAGTGGGCGAGGGTTGATTTTCATCTAGGAAAAAACTCAGAATCACGTATTATTCGGGTGATGTTTTATTCAACTTTTTTTGAGTTAAGGGAAAGAAATAAAAGACAACTTCTAAATTTCTATTAACTTTATTTACAAAACCGATCGCAAAAGTAGCTTAGATTGAAATTTCGTGAAGAGTGCTTCTTCAATACAAAATCATCTAAAACTAATTAAATACGAGCAAAGAAACAAAAAAGGGAAAATATACCTCCAAAAATGCAAAAAAGAAATATTCAAATTATAACCAATTTCGACTAAATTTGAAAAATTAACTACCCTACCCGAAGATTCAACCGTCTTGTCGGCAGTTTCCTTGATTCCAGCAGTACCTAGGCAACAAATTTCTCCAAATTACTGAGAATAGCAAAGTAAAGAACGAGGAGATCAAAGGACACCCACTCCAACCAAAACTTCGCCACTCAATGAGTCCAATAACCCGCGTCGACGTGCTCATTTAATTTTCGATCCTATCGACCAAAACTCGGTATGTTTCGACTGTCTCGACCGAATTTGGGTATGTTTTGACTTTCAATTTATGTTAAGTTTCCGAAACTGAACTAAATACTTTATCCCTTTCGAGTAAAATCTCGGTATGGTTTTGAAGTTATCAGAATTATTTGCAATTTAAATGTTTTGTAAAGCTGAACTTATTTTGAACAAATACTTTTTATCTTATGGATACTGTGGTTTTCCAGTCGAGTCAAAAGTCTAAGAAAGACAGAACCAAGCCCCTCTCTGGACTATTCCACTCTGTTTTTAGTCGAGCAATGACATGTGTTTGACTTTGAAAAAAAAACCTTGAATGTTAACCCAGTAAAACCTTGAATGGTAACCCAGCAAAACCTTGAATGGTAATCGGCGCAAAACCTTGAATGGTAACCCAGCAAAACCTTGAATGGTAACCCAGCAAAATCTTGAATGGTAATCGGCGCAAAAACTTGAATGGTGATTGGCGCAATAGTAATCAGCAAGAAGCATTTTAAAGTCGCACGCACGATGCTGACAGACACCCAATATTGTTCGAAAAAATCGAATGAAACTAAAAAAAACACCATGTTTTGTACTAGGAAAGCTTATGATCAGCCTTTTTCCCATAGTATGCAATTGTATGGTTGACATTTATTCTATAAACAAACAAAAAACTTTGAGCTTTTTCTTTAAAATTTTGATTTTGTGCAAAAACACACTAAACGGTTTTTTATGCCAAAGTGTCTCTCATAAAACAATAATGCCATAAAAGTGTATTATTTGATTTTTAAAGTAATTCAGATAATTTTTTGATCAAATTCAATTTTAATGATGCCAAAGTTTCTCTCATAATAGAAAAATGTCATATTTCAGTTTTAAATCAATTAAGAATAAATTAAAAAAACACGCTGATTGAAAAATTTTTTATGTAATTGTACCTTAAATATTTTCTTAATAGTTTTATAAATGAAATTGTTTGACTAATTTTTTTCTTGCATAGACGTGAAACCGAGTAGTCAAAACATATCTGAAATCTGAACTGAGTGGCACAAAATTGATTAGGTTTTTGTGAGTTGTGAAGCTCCAAAATTGCAAAATTTTGAGCGCAAAAGTAAGAGTTTACAAATTTTTGGTCGATCAAGTCAAAAATTACTTTAGTGTGATCAACCAAAAATTTTAAAACATTTTTCATTCAACTAAAACAAGATCTTACCTTTCTTTTACCTTTTTTTGTCGAAAACATTACATTTTCAACGAAAACATTACCTTTTTTGATTTTCTTTGTTGCTTGAAGAGACTTTGTCGAAGAATATGTAGTTCTGCTCGCTTGTTCATCTAAAAGTCAAGTAAGTGAGAATGTAAGAAAATTCAAAAATTTTAATGCCATTTTGTCAAACTCTTAAACAAAATACCACATAATAAATTATGATAAAATTAACTATAAATCATCCAAAAAACAATTATAATCAACACAATCAATTCTGATATAACAAAAAAGTAGAAAGTGGAATATTCGGATAGCTTGTCAATTTTGAGAAAAAAAGTTTCGAAATTGGCAAATATTTTTGAAAACAAAATTCCAGCAACATTTTCAAAAAACTTATTTAATCATTTAGCCCTCAGAGAAAATCATAGATTCGCTGCTGCTCTTCATACTATTTCATATCATGATTTTTTTGTCGTACAGTTTCAAAGAAAAAAAAACAGTAGCAAAAACATTTTCATTCATAAAAATTTAAAAAAAAACTATTTTTTCGAAACTATTGCAAGAAAAGAGCATACTGTCTTTTTTATTCTACGGAAAATTATGAATAGCTTTTTCCTATACTATGAAGCTGTACGGTAGACAATTTTTCTATGAAAAAAAATTTTTTTTTGAAGTTTTTGTTTTTGGTATTTTGGTTTTTCAGCAGAAAACTAACAAAATTTTTCTAACATATGAAAACTAAGAGTAAATGGCAGTTACCACCTAGGTAAAATTTTCTAGATTTTCAAACTGAATTATATACAGGAAACCTAGTTTTCAGTGTAAGGCTGGAAAAATTCGATCTAGAAAAAATCTGAGGTAGAAAAAACGTGTCTACTTTTTTATACAGATCTAGATATATCTCAGCTCATAAAACGAAAAATATTATTTGTCTTTATACAAAAGACAAATCCTTGTAATTTTTGGAGTTGTTAGTGTGAAAATTAGGTTGGACTACTTAATAGACGCAAATATCAATTTTGCATTCAAAACTTTTACGTACAAAATTAATTTGAGCACAGAAGCGAATTGCCAATCAAAACATAGAAAAAAATTTTCTACATTTTTAACGGAAAAGATTAATATCATACAGTTTTCGTATACAAAATTGCATCATGGTATCAAAAGCAATTTTTTTTTCAAAAACAATTTTTTTACGTCAAGGTTAAGATACAAAAATTGCCGAACAAAATTGAATGATTTAGGCTTTAAATCATTTTTAATTACAAGTTTCAAAACACACTGATTAAAAAATGCTTAGAATAGAAATTGCTTCAAATATTATTGTATCCTAAGAGTTTTTTTGGTAGTTTCATAAATGAAATTGAATGAATGGCATTTTTTATGTTTAGACGTGAAACCGGGTAGTCGAAGCATATCTGAACTGGGTTGCGCAAAGTGGATTATAGTTTTAGTGAGATGAGACGCTCGAATTTTACCAAATTTTGATTGCGACGGTCGAAACTTAAAAATTTTTGGTTGATCAAATTGAAACTTGTTTTAGTCTATTCGACCGAAATGTCGTAATTTTTTATGGGTCGATAAACATGAGACCATTCATTCGAATTTTTTTTCGGTCGAGATAGTCGAAACATATGTGAAATAGTTCGTGCACCGTCGAAAACATTTTCTTGGGCCGACCGTCTTAAGCTTCGACCGTCTCAAGCAAAGAACTTTGCATGAGACGGACGAAGCTTGACGAATATAGCTGGAGACTGTTGAAAAGTCACTCGAGCACTTAAACCCGGGGATATAAAGAAGTTTTGATGGTTTCCAAAAAAGATTTTATTGCTAATCAATTTTTAATCAAATCAGGTCAATGAAAAACCCCTGTTTCCAAAAATATAGATGTATGTTTTTAGTTGTGATGACTACGGTTGAAAAACATTTGAATAATCTTCAAGAAATTACAAGCAAAACACATACCTCTTTTGGTTTTATTTGTTGTTGGCGAGAACTTGTCGAAGGAAACCCAGCTCGGTTTGTTTGTTCTTCTAAACTTCAAATAGATGAGAATGCCAGAAAACTCAAAAGGTTTATGCCATTTCTTCTAATTCTCAAAATACAACATATAAAATTTTAATATTAGTCAACCAGGAAATTTTTATAATCAAAACAATCAACTCTGATACAACAAAAAACTAGAAAATAGTTTGTTCGGAGAATTATCCAATAACAACCAATTCAATTTGTTTGATTTAAGACTCAAAAACGACAACACGACTGCGTAAAATGGGCGGCATCATAATCATAATAAATTGTTTGCAATATAGATTCTTTTCATGAGTGACACTTAGTACGTTTCCAACCAAATTATATCTCATCGCGAGAACACCGTGGAACTGTGCAGCACGTTTTCAGCCGCCTCTAATCTTCTTATGATTTTTGTTGGTATTTACTATCAATAGTTAATCAATAAAAATTTAAAAATTTATTTGGTTCAAAAAACTGAATAGCGGAAAACCGGGAAAAAATTCAGAACTATTCCTAGACTTGACAGTATTATTTAATGTAATTTTTACTCAAAACTGATTTTAATCAAGTGGTAATTTCCTAGAAGGCCGCTGTCCAAAACGCATGATTGAAGATTTGTAATTGATGTTTAATGCAGTCCTAAATCACTGTTTCAAAAGCTGGGTAGTATTTGAGAACAAAATGGAAACTTTTTCTTATAGTTATTGATTTTTTCTTTTGCATGCACAGGTATCAGCTTCGCTGAAATAGCTTTACTTAAAAACGTGTTCACGTTTTTTCATTCATTGCTTCCTGGATTATAATTGATATGCGTTTTTTTCTCACAACTTTACATACCAAGCCAGACCAAAATAAGTCGGCCCAAACAATGGAGATTTTGTACTTTTTGAAATGTAAAAAGCAGAGAACAAAATACAGATTGGTTTGCTTTCTACGAATCCCATTACTCATTATTTAGCCAATTTCTAAATAGGCCACTTTTTAAGCAGATAGATGTGAATGTAGTCATTTTTTCCTGGAGCTATTATCTGTTTTTTTTTTCTGCTCTCGGTAAACATTTTTAGCTTATTGATAATAAACTTGACTAGTTTACCAATCAGTCTGTATTTTTGGTTATTTCGGAGTACTTATAAGTCGACTTAAAATTGTGAACCAAACATTTTGAGCTCGCGCTGAAGTTTCATAGTCTAAACTTAGCCAATCAGTTTGAAACAAAATAATTTTATTTAGCTGAAGCTGCTTAACCATTGATTTTTGGGCGTTATAAGTAAAAAGATCAAATGTGTTTTTCTTATCATTTACGCTACTTGGTTTTTGTACTTGTCTATACATGTGATACTGGACTACTTTATAAAATTGATTGCTGTAGATATAATTCTATTACCTTTATATCAAATTTTCTCAGTTATATCGGCAAAGAAATAAAAACAAATTTTGTGCAATTATTATAAAAAGATACCCGAAACCATTAAAAGTGAAAATGAGTGCAGCTGCTGCACATGTACAATTCAATAAAAACACAAAGTAATGTGAAATGGGAATAACTTTCAACTGTGTTCGAAAATTTTTAGTTCGACTCTTTTAAAAGCAAAGTCTTACATTCGGTTTTCGAGTTTTCTCTCTCGGCCGCAATCAGAATTAAAAATGGGTTTGTTCTTTAACAACGTTATAAAAATATTCACACCCTTCATCAGCAAAAAAATAAAAACGAAGCAACCCAGGCTGAGATACGCGACTTAAGCCAGTCGGGATTTTGTGCGACCCATAACTTATTAGGCTATTTTGGGCAACATAAGTCGAAGATTGAAATGCTAGACAGCTTTTTGACCTTACCAGCAAAAGTTGGCCAGGTTCCCTTTTCTATAACTTTTTTCCTGAAGGCCACTTGTCCCTTCTTCGCTGAAACAAATTCAAGTTAATACAAATAAAGTATAAGACTTACTTGGTCGATTTGAGGCCTCACGATTGCACTGGAAGTGCCTTAACGCTATATACTTAATTCGATGGCTGAACAAACAAAAAGTTCAAGTTACGTTAAAATGATTGTGGTATAAGTTTGTATTCTTACGGGGAGAGGGGACGTAGCGATAAGCATGTGTACCTACTGATATGCTAAAACGTTTAAAACTTTTACATCATGACATGAAAACATTGTGTGATTATATTAACCTGATTCATATGTGTACTTCATTTTATCGGGGTTTACTTCGGATTTGACTCTTTTGAGAGCAAATATGTTCAAGTTCGCGGAAAAAGACACGCCACAGTCGGATGAGGGACACCTTCGCTCTGCTCGTGCCAGAAGTATGGCCAGACAACTTTTACCAGACTCGGGGCCACATATTCGGTGTTTGTTGCAGGGCAATATCCGAATGTCATACTTCAACTTGTCCAGGCATTGGCAGCAGAACACAAGATGGTCTTTATTCAAATCATCCGCCATAAGTTCTGGTCTCAGTTCAAAAGTTTAAAAAACGCACACAATTTGAGAATAGTTGTTTGTTTTCAGAAGAATTTGAATTCGTTTTTTTTGAAGACATGGTATTTTGACGTCCATTAACATAAGATGTACTGGTTGCCAACTTTATTCAAGAAAATATAACTTAACAAACTGATGCTCACGCATTGTATATTTTTCTGCTGTTATTTTTCATGTGGTAATTTTGTTTTATTTGCGCCTCAGTTGAGATTTTAAAGCTTAAAGAAAAGAAAAATCATTTTGTTTAATAATGAATGTTGAGTAATTAAGAACGAACAATTTTATTACAGAGGCGTAAGATTTGTCAAAATTACAGATAAGAAGCTACAGGCTTTTTCAGCAACAAAATTTTACTTAGATACTTAAACTTTACTTAAAGGGCCAATTCGAGAAAAAAACATAATAAAATTTTGTGACGATGATCAAGTCAAACAATATACATTTTATAATTGTGTTGATTATCAAAAAGGTTTATAAAACCAAACACTTGTATCGAAGTCATGCTATGAGGTTCAAATTTTCACAGTTTGGTGTCCCATAAATTACAAAAATAACATAAAATTTGTATTGCTTTTTTGCTTTTGTCTTTCGGTTGAGTTTTGACATCCCTAGTCGATAGAAGGTCATGATCCCCCGAGTCGAGATTTTTCACCTAATTTGAAGCAAGATTTGAGCGGTTTCAGCGGTTTTTTTAGACAATTACGCTCAAAATCTTGCTTCAAAATGAGCGGTTTGAGCGGTTTTTGAACGGTTTTATCTAAAAAAACCGCTCAAAAACCGCGCAAGATTTGAACGGTTTTGAGCGGTTTATCTAAAAAAACTGCTCAAAAACCGCTCAAATCTTGCGCGGTTTTTTTAGATAAACCGTTCAAAAACCTCTCAAACCGCTCATTTTGAAGCAAGATTTTGAGCGTAATTGTCTAAGAAAACCGCTCAAACCGCTCAAATCTTGCGCGGTTTTTGGGCGGTTTTTTTAGATAAACCGTTCAAAAACCGCTCAAACCGCTCATTTTGAAGCAAAATTTTGAGCGTAATTGTCTAAAAAAACCACTCAAACCGCTCAAATTTTACATATTTTCCAGTGGTTATTTTGCTCGAGCATTTGAAAAAAGTCGCTCACATTGTTTTTGGTCAAGACATCGAAAAAAATATTGCTTGATTTGAGAACAGTTAAGATCTTTTTTAAATTGTAGATAGTATTTCAACTGCATCTTAGCGTGGGTTGACCAAAAATGCTTATCCTACAATTTCCATATATGAAAAAATGCTGCAATTTTTCAGTTTCATAGACTCAGAAAATTGTAAAAAAAAACTAGGATAAGCGTTTTTTCATATATAGAAATTGTACGATAAGCATTTTTTCATATATGGAAACTGTAAGATAAGCATTTTTTGGAAACTCAAATGAGGCTCAATTAGCGTTTAAACTTACCCATAAAACGTGCAATCTCTGAACAGAGAAGAGAACCAACAGAAAAATCAGAGGATTGTAGAGGTTGGAACCTCAAACTCTTCATTTTCTGTAGGCAAATCTCCTCAACTCTTGAGAGAGCAGAAATTTCCTAAGCCTACTCCTAGATGAACCAAAACCATAAGGGAGGAGTTGTCTCAAACGCCAAAAAGCCTGTTTTCCTGATGGAAACATTCTCCAAGCATACATAATCCAGTTGTGATCCGCAAGTTCTGTCATCAGCATTAATTTATTTCCTCTAAAAAACAAAATTTTACACGGGCGAGAAAACAGAAAACATTCAACACATACGTAATTAATGTTCATTGATATGAATTCTGATCCAAATTCAGAACTACTCGAATGCAAAAATATCAACTTCTAAGGCCACCATCGGAATCATATATGAGATTGCTGGGTCAGAAATCAGCCAAGCGACGGCGCTCAGAAGCAGAATACTGCACTGACTTACAATGTAAAATAGGGCAGTAATGTGCTTCTCGGCGCCATCGATTGGCTGACTTCCGACCCAGTCATCTCATATAAGATTCCGATGGTGGCCTTAGAAGTTGACATTTCTGCATAGGTCATTGTATGAAAATTGTATGATTAGCATTTTTACATACATTTGATGCAGGCAATTGTATGATAAGCTTTTTCGGTGTGGGGGAATTTGAAATAAGCATTTTTGGTTTAGGGATGTCAACCCGGGGTCACATTACCTTCCCAGGCCTTTTTGTTGGTTTTAATTGGTTTTCTTTATAAGACCGCTCAAAAACCGCTCTAAAACCGCTCAAATCTTGCTTGAAAAACCGTTCAAAAATCACCGCAAGAAATGAGCGGTTTTTGAACGGTTTTTAAGCAAGATTTGAGCGGTTTGAGCGTTTTTGTTTTTCCAAAAAAACCGTTCAAACCGCCCAAACCGCTCAAATCTTGCTGAAAAACCGCTCAAACCGCTCATATCTTGAGCGGTTTTTGAGCGGGATCTCGACCCGGGCCAATTCATCGCAGCTATAAAAACGACGAATGATCGGAACCCGAGTCGAGATTTTTCACCTAAATTGAAGCAAGATTTGAGCGGTTTGAGCGGTTTTTTAGACAATTAAGCTCAAAATCTTGCTTCAAAATGAGCGGTTTGAGTGGTTTTTGAACGGTTTATCTAAAAAAAACCGAAAACCACTCAAAAACCGCGCAATATATGAACGGTTTTGAGCGGTTTATCTAAAAAAAACAGCGCATGATTTGAGCGGTTTATCTAGAAAAACCGCTCAAATCTTGCGCGGTTTTTGAGCGTTTTTTTTTGGATAAACCGCTCAAAACCGTTCAAATCTTGCGCGGTTTTTCAGCGGTTTTTTTAGATAAAACCGTTCAAAACCGTTCAAATCTTGCGCGGTTTTTGAGCGGTTTTTTTAGATTCCAGTCATCTCATATAAGATTCCGATGGTGGCCTTAGAAGTTGACATTTCTGCATAGGTCATTGTATGAAAATTGTATGATTAGCATTTTTCCATACATTTGATGCAGGCAATTGTATGATAAGCCTTTTCGGTGTGGGGAAATTTAAAATAAGCATTTTCGGTTTAGGGATGTCAACCCGGGGTCACATTACCTTCCCAGGCCTTTTTGTTGGTTTTAATCGGTTTTCTTTATAAAACCGCTCAAAAACCGCTCTAAAACCGCTCAAATCTTGCTTGAAAAACCGTTCAAAAATCACCGCAAGAAATGAGCGGTTTTTGAACGGTTTTTTAAGCAAGATTTGAGCGGTTTGAGCGTTTTTGTTTTTCCAAAAAAACCGCCCAAACCGCTCAAATCTTGCTGAAAAACAGCTCAAACCGCTCATATCTTGAGCGGTTTTTGAGCGGGATCTCGACCCGGGCCAATTCATCGCAGCTATAAAAACGACGAATGGTCGGAACCCGAATTGAAGCCTAAATTGAAGCAAGATTTGAGCGGTTTGAGCGGTTTTTTAGACAATTAAGCTCAAAATCTTGCTTCAAAATGAGCGGTTTGAGTGGTTTTTGAACGGTTTATCTAAAAAAAAACCGAAAACCACTCAAAAACCGCGCAATATTTGAACGGTTTTGGGCGGTTTATCTGAAAAAACCGCGCATGATTTGAGCGGTTTATCTAGAAAAACCGCTCAAAAACCGCTCAAATCTTGCGCGGTTTTTGAGCGTTTTTTTTTTGGATAAACCGCTCAAAACCGTTCAAATCTTGCGCGGTTTTTGAGCGGTTTTTTTAAATAAACCGTTCAAAAACCACTCAAACCGCTCATTTAGAAGCAAGATTTTGAGCGTAATTGTCTGAAAAACCGCTCAATCCGCACAAATCTAAAGACAAGTCAGGAGGATTCTTGAAAGAGTGGGTTATTCTCATGCAAGAAGGACGGATTGCGCAAAATTCGCAGCCAACAATGCTTTTTCATTTGTTCGAAAATGAAACTGAATAAAGTTTCTCGCGTGAAAAGATAATCAAACATTCAGAAAAAAAAGATGTTTTTTGAGTTTGAATTTTAATGGCTTCCCTTCACGTGTAATGTTAAAAGTACAATATTATGCATTGGTTACGCATTATAAAAAACCATCGTAATGAAATTTTGTGTGTTTGCAAACGCCTGCCAATCAAAATAGGGAAAGCCGAATTAGCAAAATTGGGCAATTGTCGAGAAGTTTTCCTGAAGCGCCAAAATGACCAATTTAGTCAAAATTTTTCTGCGGCGCCAGCTTTTTATTTTTTAACGTATTGAGAAAGTGTTGGAGCGCGTTTCTCAGAATTAGCTTGATTGTCTTTCCATCGAATATCTATCCAACTATATAGATTGATCGACATTTGGTGGCTGCCAATTCTAGCTAATAATTCCATTTGCTAAAATGTTTTCAAAAAATTCGACACCTCGTTTTCCCCCGCATCGTCTGCGGATGTTGCCCAGTCCACGAAGTGAATGAAGTTTTTTGCGGTGAGAGGGGAACTTTGTGCTACGAATCTTGTCAGGCTTGATTTCATCAGCTGAAACTGAGTAGCCTGAAAATCAAACAATTGTGAGTGGTTTCGAGTTTGACTAGATTTAATTGACAGTGAATTTTATTAGTTGCTCACGAGATGTTCCGTAGACAAGCAGGCCGTCTTGAAAAAATCACTCCTTTGATTATTTTGAGTGTGTTTTCGATGCAAATTTTTCTGAAAGATCCAGGAAGAGTTCTCCAACCTTTCGTCGACACATCATGACCAGCCCCAATTGAATTGTGCACATTCATTTGCTTCATCATAAAGTTCAAAAAAATGGTTAGCG